ACACTAAGTTGCACGGGAGTTCCTTAATATAGTTGTATGAAAAAAGAGCGACGGCTCACTTGGTCCACACGTTAAACCTCTATTCATTTCTATTTTTGGGCGTAAAGGCTGTCTTCCAATTGACGAATCTATTCGCGCGAATTTTCGCTTATACACATGCGCAGTTTAATTTTCAACAGTAAATCCGCCCAGTTCTTTTTCTGGAGCCCATGGTAAGACAGCGTTGAACGCTTCGGGGCTTTTTGTTGACACCATTAAAACATGCTTAAATCATGAAGGAAATATCCTCATGGAGGTATATGGTTAAATACGGTACACAGCGCTACCACTAATAGGACACGTCGCATAATGGTGCAATCAGTTAACGCTGTGTTGTAAGGAATCGAAGGTTGAATTCGAATCGCGTCTCGGTGTTATTTTATTTATTTATTTTTTTCCCCTTTTAAATGAACATTTTAAGATATTTGAGAGCTGTTTGACAAAATAAAATTGGAAGAGCTAATAAGATAGAATTTTTTTTTATTAAATAATGTTCATTTGTACAAAATGAAAATGTCTTAAAATTAAAAAAAAATGTCTTAAAATTGAAAAAAATATGTCTTAAAATTGAAAAAAAAAAGAAATAAATGAAATAGAATTTAATACCAAGACGCGATTCGAACTTACACATTGTTAACCGACCGCACCATCCATGCGACGTGTCCTATTCGTGGTAATGGCAGTAATGTACGGTAGTCCTTGCTGAAACCCCTGTTTTGTTTTGTAGGTTTATGGGGCACCCTGTGGTTCAACTTAAAAAAGGGCCATGAACGTTTGTCGGAAATCACCACTAGTTTATTTGTACACAATTTCCTGCACGTCCGTGCAAAACTGGCGAAGCTAGACACTTTAAAAGTTCTGGTTAACAACAACAACAACAAAAACAACACCAGCAGACAGAGTAAGGCCGGTTCAGAGGTCCGCGCGCAGGAATAGAACCAGCAATGTCTCGCTATCTCGGCGAGCGTCATACCGTTTAGACCACAGAGGCTAGTACAGGGGTGTTATTTTGAAATGAAATAACACGAGGAGTTTTAGTAATAGACGAAGGAACATGTCGCGGAGCGACATCTGAGGGCCCTTTGGCCCGAGCGGGGTGGGTTTGGGATGGGGTGCCCCCTCCCTACCTAAGGAAAAAATGAAAAATAATTACTGTAAGATGCCATTTAAAAGTGTTGATTTTTTTTTTTTAATTGTGTTGCAAATGTTTGATTTTTTAATGTATTAAACACTATTTTTAAGTAAAAATCCAAGATTCAAACACTTTTATGGTTAATTTAATTTGCAATAACAATAAATAAATGGATAGCACATCATACACTGTTTGTACTGTAATTATGTATTTTCTTTCACAGTGTTTCTTTTTAAACTATTTACATTCAATTGCAGTTCAGCAATCTGATTCTATCTACTTACTAGTTTTCTTACTTTCATCTGCATAACAGCTAATACTGTGCCTTTTCTTCATGCAGGCAATTTAAATTACCTTTGCAAGTACACAAAAAAAAAATTATAACAACTTCTACTTTTAATCCAAAAGGCAAAATACTGAAAAAAAACCCAAAACAATGAGATACAATTGGTAATCAAAAGCTAAAATTTAAACGTAAAAGTAACACAGCCCAGTGAGATAAATGCCTAGCTTTTTGGGACAGAACACTGTCCTTCGTCAGGACTAACTTTCTATAATTGAATACACGTTCTTATTATCTAAATATTGTATTTGTATACAATGTAATAATAATCTGCATTGCTACAGCCCTCGAAAAGCGTCGGCATTCTTCAATTTGCCGAGGTGCCTGAAGCTAACGACGGCAATAATTTGCAGAGGCCCTTTTGTTGTCAAGATAACCTTAGAATGTAACATAAATTAACGGGGAACGAAAGTCATATCTTCTCCAAGCTTTTAATTGTTTAGTCATGTTAAAATAAAAATTGTTACTGAGCATGCAACGCACGATCGAATCATGGACCTATTAATAAGTCCATGATCGAATCGAAGGCAAATCAACGCACACGGGGAATCCCCGAATTTGTTCAGGTGAGCGTACGTTGAACCATGGAGGAAATATATTAATATATTTCCTCCATGGTTGAACCACGTCCATGGAGTTTGGACCACGGAGGTTTGAAAAAAATGTTGTTTTAATTAAACGTATAACTTGATACAATATATATTTATTTCAATCATTAAATAGATTATTATTGAATCATTGTTATCTTTTCCAAAAAAGATCATGCGCCGGAATTGGGCCATTTGCTTTATTTTTAGTTTACTCATACCATGACCACTGTACGTACGAGCGAGGATGCGAATTAATGCTCTCTGCATCCACACACTGATCCAGCTCATACCGTACTTTGTAACTTTGTAGAATGGCTCGTACATACAGCATGGCCTTTCTCTTAAATCAACTGTCAATGTTGTTTTTGTTAGTGACGACGTGGGAAAATGTGTTAATAAAACATTAAAACTATTTGGTTGACTTACTTTATTCGTGATGATTATATATCTTACAAAAAATAGGCCTACACGCATATTACATGCATATGACGGGCGAGGTTGTTTACTTCTTGCTTCCTAGCATACTTCGTAGGGTGGATCACGTGGTCTTTCTCGATGTTCTTCGCTCGATCGGGGTTCAACGCTCGGCCAGAATTTTTTTTGACTTAATATTTGTGATGATTAAATAAAATATCTTACAAAATATACACGCATATTCTATGCTATATTATGACGGACGAGGCTCTTTACTTCTTGCTTCATAGCATACTTTGTACGGCCGATCACGTGTTCTTCGCTGACGCTCGATCGGAGCTAGACCTAATTTAATTTAATTTAACGGTGTTCTTTGGTTGGACGTTGTTTGTGACAATGAGTTTGAATGAAATTAAAATTTTATTTGCTTTGTTGTGATGACTTAGTATCGTACAAAATGTAAGCTTAGGCCTAGAAGAATGCTGTTTTAATTTTCGTGGTAAATGCTAGATTTAGAAGGGAATTTCTCCATGTTTTTGGCGTAGGCTTCATACACAGTACTGCATGCATGCATGTCGTTGTCTTCTTCAATCAAGTGTGGTCATTCAAAAATGATGCGAGTAGAGTGAAAAGAACACAAGTATTTCCGGCTCATCACTTATATTTTGAAAAGTTAACACAATGAATAATAAATCTATTAAATGATTGAAACACATACTACTGTAGTAGTAGTAGTAGCAACGATTTTATCGTTTTTCCATGATTATGACGTCATCTGATTAAAAAAAATATTTTGTTATCGTATACACGATAAATCGTTAACGAATCGTCCTAGTGTAAACACTTCTCTTATTTCTTTTGTTTTCTATATGAACAATCGCTTTTTAGCTTTTTTTTTTATCTTTATCGTTATCGTTGAAGTATAAACAGGCCTTAACAGTGCATGTTGTATAATTTAAACTACGTCATAATATGATAAAGAAAACATAAGGATATCAATAATAAGTGCAACTGTATAATATCAGAAGTTTTTTATTTTCTAAATTGTGAAAATACAATGAAAATGATGGTGATAATGAATGATATCTTACCTTTTGTGCAATTACTTCTTCTTGTCCATCCACTACAGCAATTCTCTATTACATCATAGACTCTATGAATACATAATAATAATTATTTATTAAACAAAGACCTTTGTAATCAGTGGCACGCGCTCATACACGGTCGTTCACATGCAAAACCAAAACATCAGATAAGGCCTACAAGATAAAAAGTAAATGACAAAATAAAAAAATAAAAAACAGTTCGGTACACTTTAGTAGGGCCAACGCCATCAAATTTGCAACTGTAATGTTTTCAATTCCTGTCGTTTTTGTCATGACCGTATAAATATGAGGTAAAATTTACAAAATCTGTTGTAAATCATTAAAGCTTTAGTACTACTGACAAAACCCTCTCTGCACAAAAAAAAAAACATTATAAAAATGTGTATTCATAGTTACTATTGTAGATTATCTCCCATAAATGGTGTTCATTAGAGTAATTAAATCATTCTTAAGTTTTGGGGTTTAGATTTTAACTTGTGTAATAGATTAAAGATGATTTACCATTAATGTCTTCTAAACATTTCAATGGCACAAACCAATTAAGATGATTAATATAATATTTAATATTTGAATTATTAGTAATGTTAGTAAAAGTATCCATGTTTTCCTTGTGGAGGAATTAAAATTAGGCAGTGGCTATTGTTACCGTCACCAGCTTTGAATAAAAATTAATGATGAGGCTGCGTGACATGGAATTATTGTTTGTTATATCGGAAGTTGTTTTTCCACCTACAGTTGTGTTTTATTCATGGTTCAGCAAATCAATAAAGGTATTGCAATGCAATACTGCTGTTTATAGTGGTAAATCTATGCACTTAACATATTGTCAAGGGCGGATCATGTCCGAAAGGGAGGCGATAGAGACACAACTCAACTCTTATAGGGGGGCCGGAAGGATATTTTTTTATAGATGCCCGAAATAACCTCTGAGGCACTTTAGTATAGGCAATCAATAATAATTTTTCTTTCTCTCCCTCTCTCTCTCTCTCTCTCTCTTTTTTTTCTTTAACTTTCCA